ATTAATCGTAAGAATAATCGATAGATTACTCGATTACTAAAATATTCGTTTACAACAGCCCTAGTTGTTTCTGTTATTGTAGCCAACATGTGTACTAATCTGAGAAATCAGTGGTAACTCCAGAGGAACTGATGAGACGACATTAAGTTACAATCTGGCTTTTATTTTGAAAAAGCAGAATATAAGCCATGATAACAAATTTTGCCGGATGATAAATTGTCCCAGAAGTTATTGCAATAAATGATTATATTATTTTGAGACAATTTTTAGGGACATAAAGGTTATGGCATAATAATACAAGAACACATTCTCAATAAACTTTAAATTGTAATGAACATTTGACACTGGAACCTGAAGACAATTTAAATATCTAAAATAAACAAAACAGAAACAACAAATAAAGTGAATTATAAACTTTCTGGAAACAAAATTATCCTTAAAAAGGTCTAGTTGAAGCACCAGATTGAAGGCTTTCAACATCCAGTTTCTGGTAGAAAAAGAGAAACAATGAATAAATGGGATAATAGTACGAATGGAAACTATTGAGCATAAAGTCACGTGGCTGAAATCTAAGAATCTGAATCAGAACAAAGTGTAAATGTTGACATATTGTTTCACTTCCTTCCTGACGCTCCGTCACCTGTGAACGTCGCAGGTTGAACCTCAGCGTTAAACCTTGAGGTCGAACGGAGGAAGTGGGAGCAGCGATGTGACTGAAAACGATCTCACCGCTGAGATTAGCCAAACGGAGGAAACGCATGAGAAATGTCATGTTGGTGACCAGACTTTGTTCTTCTCTGTTGCAGAAGAAATGGACCTGCACCATAAAGAAACGACGTCTGGAGAGATTCTGCCGGTCGTGATCATCGGTAAGACAAACCTTCGCTTCATTCATGCTGTGGGGAAACCTCAGAGGTGAAATGGAGGACAGTACAACTTCAACTTCAAACAAGGAAGTAGACTTAGAGTCACATAAGTTTCTGTTTTCTCTTTTAATTTTTGTCTGAGTCCATTAAAGATCAAGATTAAGAACTGAACTATTTATTCTTCTGCCTCGAGTTGAATTCCCATTCAGAGAATAATGGAAACAGTGGAAGTGGAGGGGATCTCAGCTTATTTGCTTATTATGTGCAAATATGTGGAAGTGAAAATGCAAATTGTTTTTCCTCTCATGCTGAGTCATCATATACAATTAAAAAAAACATCAGATTTGCTGACTCATGCTACAGATGTTCATGATTTTTTTGCCTCCATCATGTTTCTATGCTTGTAACAATAACTTAGCTGGTCGATAAATTGTCCCTGCAAAA